TGATTTCCTTTGTTTTTCCTCAGAAACAACAAGAAGGTCAAGGCTTGTCTGTCACCAGAATGGCCAGTTATTTAAGGGAAATTACCAAACTGTTCAAAGTAGAAGCATGAGAAAAACCTAAATGACTGAGTCTTTGCACTCTCTGTATAAAACGCACCTTACTTTTACGGGTGGTAAAAGGAACCAAATGATCTAAACCAATTAGTCTGCTGCCCTCTTTTTGGAATCTAGGCCAGTGATTTTTTTCTCTAGCTCAGAGTAAGGCACTGTTACAGCTGTGGTCATTTCAAATCAGAGATGATTATTTTTTGGAACCTATCAACTCCTTAAGGACTCCTTACAATTTTGATTCAAATTACAAGCATTTAGCCAAAGGTCCATTCTAAATAGGTTTTTCATTTAATGGTAGGTTGGCTTATTACTAACATTGCCTTGGAGTACTAGGGTGCAGTCTCAGCATAACACTGCTCATCTAAAATAATTCCTAAAACTCTTCTCTAGTAGCTTAAAATTGTATATATGTTTGCATTGTACATGGCTTTTGTAAAGGATCTAAGAGATAGTGTACATAAAAAACATTATATACAGGTGAATAAGTCTTATTACAACTTACGCAACATTTCCATCACAGCAGTTTTTAAATCTCTTCAGTGAAACTGAGGTATTGTGCATAAATTACAAGATTGACAGAAGTGTACTCTAACCTGTAGAACGTGAAAAACATGTTAATTTTCATTTCTGTTTCCTCTTTTTATAATCAGACATTTGCAGAAAGCCTCATGTGATTTATTCTTTTCTTTTTAATGAATTGTTAAAAATGTTTGAAAAGGCATTAAATCTTCCCCTCTGCCATTAATCTGTAAAGGGGGAAGGGGGTTTTAAATGGCCTCTTAGTGTATTGCTTTATAAAACTGCTGATTCTAGCAGTGCCAGAATAGGAATACGTATTAATGTATGAAACACTGAATGCAGACAGTAAGCCTCCTGCATTTATGGAGGAAAAGGCTAATAGCTCCATTTTAACAAGGCTCTTAACACTTGGGCCATCAGTGGGCATTGAGTGAGTGAAAGTGGGAGAACTCCTGTTAGCTAAAAGCATCTAAGTTCAGCATTTTGTACTGCAGTTGGAGCCTTCTTATTAGGATTTCATATTCCAGCCAGCCATGGTTGCCATCTTGAAAACAAACCAAGTAGAGAGAGCTGGCATTTTGACTGAGTGCACTAATGCTTTACCTCTGAAACTGCACTAGAGCATGATAAATGCACTTAAGTCCCAGTTGGACACTTAGCTTTACAACAGCATTTTGGAAAGTTTCTGGATTTGTGTTATGAATGAATGCAAAGGTTGTTTATGTCACATTTTATGCTGAAGCGAAAAAAAAGCAACAGGTGGTAAGCAAACCTGAAGCTGGTATATAACCTCACTCTTTCTCTGGATCACATATGTTTTCAGCAAAATTGAGGGACCTTTGTATTTAATCAGATTTATCTCCTGATATTACTGAATCCTAGGAGGGAGACTACCCAAAAGAAACTGAAGGTGTGCGGTGTCCCTACTGGCTCAGAGCCATTGGGACAGCCAATACCTGTCCTAACCAGCACTTTGATATGGAGCCCCTTCTTGTTAGCAATCATAACATTAAGTATGGGATTTGTGGATTCTTTGAGCCCCTGCCTTTCTTTTGCTGCTTTTGGCACGCTGTCGCATCATTTGTACTCTGATTATCATTTTGAGATGCATTGTCAGTAACTGGGGTGTATAATTGAACTTCATCTCTAATTACTCTTCTCTCCACAGGTGTCTGGAAAAGGTCCAGATGGGAGTTCACACAATCCCCATTTCGAAGGGATGGAAAGGCAATATGCATCCTTACCCAGGTACATTACTGAGTCTTCTGCATGTGCTGATTTTACCCTCCCTACAATATTTAGGAAAATCTGCACAGAGTAGTTGTCTGGCTCTGAAATGAGAGATTATGTTGTAGTTTTGTCTCATTACCTTCTGCTGCTGATACAGTGCCATCCTTATAACTGTATTAATAATTTGGACACATGATTTAAAAAAAACACAGTCTCCCTCGCTCACCATGTAGGCAAGAATCATAATCCATGGGGAAGGAACATAACACTGAGGAAGCTTGCTCTGCTAGAGTGCTAACAGGTCTTAGCAGGGCATAA